TAATATTGTTAATCTTATCTATGCGTATATAAAAATAAGATGAGATCATGCGATGGCGTTTTAAATGTCACATTTTCCAATAGACAGTAGACTTTTCACAAGATACACACCTCATCGGGCAGATTAATTGATTTATTGAGCGAAAGAGAAGTGCAAGGGTTGAACGTATTAGTGAACACGTTCCGTTCGTATATTCATGAGTAATACACCGATAGCGTATCGAGACTCGATTTCCCGGATAGTGACCAGTCGTTGGCCGCGCCTGGCACGTTGTCGACCTTTCTGCAACATCGAATTCCACCGATACGCCTGTCAATCTCCTACTACGGCTATTACAAATCGCGACGGTACGGTTTATTTCGATCTGCCTCATCGTGGATCTTGCGAGAGGCCAACTTGCCTTGCGGTGCACGCGCGCGATGTTCCCCGTCCGCTATAATTCGCGACTTCCGTGTCCGCACGAATGCGAAAGTGTTCAAGAAAGTACGACGCTCCGTTTACGACTGCATCCGGGAAATGCGGTCTATGAAGAGAACGCATGGCGCGATCTAAATTTCAAATGCGGGTCCACACGCTCATCTCTCTCGGAGCAAATTATACTTTCTAAGCGTGAAATTTCCGCCCGGCGGAATCTGTGGCCTCAGATACGCATGTTTGTGAGAAAATTCGTTGGAAATCCTCCTTTGCATTTTTTCGCGAAGTAATAAACGTATTATTATGCAACAAAATTATGAAGCGAGCAGCCTTAATTTAAATATTATTTTAATATTAAAGAAGCGATATCGCGCGAGGAATATTTATTAATCTCCTATCTCAATTTTTCGTTTATTTAAGAACTTATTTCACATAATTTCAAAATAATGAAAAAGTAATGAAAAAATTACAGATTATTTTAAATCGTTTGAAAGTAACACAATAAATTTTGAGCGATGGTCAAAAAAGTTATTACATTACTTTTAAACCATCTACATAGATCAAAAGTTATTTCAATAAAAAGTAATATTTTTTTTAATTTATGCTTTAATAGAAATATATGGAAATGTATTATAAAATAATGACAAAAATCTGAATTTTCTAAATGTAATTATAATTATAATTTTTTAATATTTTAAGTATTCAAGATGATCTAAAGTTAAATACATTATGATGCAAAGATTAGATGTTTTGTAAACGAACAAAATATTTCTTTTAAATCTTTGTAAATCATTTCTGAATCGCAATAAAGCTTTACTTAAATCATTTTGAATACTTAAAGTATACTTATACAAAAAAATTTTCATGAATTATGAAAACCTGTTATTCTACAAAAATAGAATGCTACAAATTCAACTTTCATATGTATATAGTTTATTTAAAGTATAAATATTAACACGTTTGTATAAATGAGTGTTATACATTCTTAATCGAACTGATAAGAACTAAGGAGATAACTTTCGCACTTTTTAAGGAAACTCAATTTGAAATAAAAATTTGCGACGCAGTTGATCATCCGACATCTGTTGATGCTTCGCGATTGAAGTGCGTTTCAGGTGTTCGCCCCGAAGAGTCGTAAACTTATTACGTGTAACTGACGCTCGTGCATCACATTATTACGGACACGTGCGGTAAAAGCAGGTCAGGCCAACATCACAGACATGCCCGTGTCCAGGTAAATCTTGATAGCAATGGATGAGCGTCGTTATCGGTTAAATGTCAAGTTCAATTCGCCGCGACGCGATGTGATGGATCCGGATGGATTCGGATTCGACAATTCTCGCTTTCCTTGCACGTGGAAAATTACCGTGATAGTGAACGCCCTGGATATTTAGAAGTAATGTTCCACGTTACTGATTGTACAAAGGTGTTAAACCTGTAACAGATACTAGGAAAAATACGAAATGTATATAATTTTAATATTTATAATATTTATAAGATTTTTAATACGAATGTCTAAAAATATTATACAATTAGAGAAAAGCCGTGTAATTGTAACAATATTAAAATATAATATTACACAGTATGAATTTTGTAATATAATTGCGTTTAAATTAAATTAAAAATAGAATTGATAAATAAAATTAAATAAAAAACGGAGCGTTTTTTATAATTATTTCTATTATATTATACGAATACATATACCATATTTTTTGTAACATTTCGAGTTTCGCGTTGCGTTATTTGACAACGTAATATTTTTCTTGTTTTCTTTTCGCAAGGTATTTTTCTATTAATTCTGTCATTTTATGTAAACATTTATATTTTTCCTAGCATAATCCTCTAAAGTGCTGCATCAACAAAAATTTAGGAATCCCTGATGTAAAAAAATTTTAATATTATTTATTTAGGTTACTGCAAGCATTTAACAGTTTATGGACGTAAAATTAGGGTATTCACATTAGTCAAATTGTTAATCACATTACGTTTGTTAATTACACTTCGCGCAAGTCCAGACAAAAAGCTTGTGGAATTTTTATTTGGTCGCGATGTCGCGGTAATTGCATTACTTCATGAAGCCGTAAATGACATCAATTATGATTGTGTAACCGCGATTAATTTCTTCCCACGTAACGGCAAAAAGAATTAAACGCATCGATATGACGGACCGAGCCGTGATATATTTTAATTGAATCCGTTTCCAAAGGGTGCGCCATCGATCATGGAATTATCTCATCGTACGACAAACATTTGTTAATACCCAGGTGAATTTTTCGATATCTGGCATTAAATCGGCACGTGACGACGAACGTCGTTTTTCTTTAATGGATTAATACGTTAGCTAAGATAATTTATTATCTTAACAATGAACGATGGTGCAGGGAACGCTTGTCGATAATAATAACACCGGCGAGAATGGGAGAGAATACTCTCGTCTTATTTATATCGCGACATAGGCAATGGACGCGTTTGCGCGAAATAAAAGCCGTAAACCTCGGCGAGTGAATGTCAGTCTTACGTCAGCATTTGCTATAAATTGCACATCAAGCACGGATGATTCGATCGTTAAGGTATTAATCTGATCTGTTTTCGTCGAGCTGGAGGATCTTCGGATATAGCATTTTCCGAGAAGAAAATTTGACGTGCAGGCCGGTCGAAGCGGTTCATCTCCTTATTGGTACCTTCTCCGCGTCGCTCGAGAAGGTTTATTTTTGCGTTCTTCGTAATCCTCGTTACGAGTATCCGGAGCACGCACGGCGAGGAAATGATTCGCAGCTCCCGACGGGACTGCGAGTGGCCGCGTTCCGCAAGGCAACGGAGATGAGAAGCTCCTTTGTGGATCCCAAAGGAAACCGTGGGCGTCATAGTCGTGGGTTGAGATTTTCGCGACCCGTCGTCGTATTGTATTTTTGTGCGCTTTTATATAGAGAGAACGAGCGAGGGGGAGGGGGAGGGAGGAGAGAGAGAGAGAGAATTATTAATTTATCCCAAGAAGGATCTCTTCAAGATTGAAAAAAGACAACGATACACACAAGGCAATAATATACATAAAAGAAAAGTAAATATTTATGAATATAGACAGAGAATCAGAAAGTACGGCGTATTTAATATTTAATAAGAATAGAAGCAGAAGAGGGAGAGCGGAATGCGAGATACTGTGCTGACAAATCGTGTAGCCTCGGCGCGTCACGGTACATCATGACGTGTTTCGCAATTACGTTCCGCCAAAGACAATGCGTTCCCTCGGCAGCGCAACATTGGCTCCTATTCCCATCTAGCGCTAAATTTGATCGCATACCGTTCGCCTCGTGGTCGCGCATTAACGTTATCTTCGCGTTTAGACTAACAAAGCGGAACAAGCGAGTAAAGCGAGATCTCATGTGTTTATCATATTTTTTTTTAAGGTCATCGATCCTTTGGAAAGCGAGCGATAACCGATCCTGTCCAAGTCGCGCCTCGATACGATCGATGGACAACAGATTCTCGCGCTCCAGTTACTCGAGTTTCTAATCCGATATCATCGAGGAAAAATCAATTCATCGAGGATTATGCACGATTTCTATGCACTCTGTATACATTCTGGACTTAACTACTTCGTTCACTTGCGAGTAAAAGTTTGAATCGGATAACTATATTTAGCACGTGCATCGTGTTCGGTCCATTAGCTTCTCTCTATGTATTTTTCCAAAGCGATAGTATCTCCTGTCATTCTACGGAGTGTACCTTTTTTTTTTACTGCTACCGATCGCACATCCATGGATGGCGAAGCGATTAATTATTGCTCCTACTAAGCGCTAAAAATAATAGTGACCTCTTTCTCGGAATGGACCGTCGTACTTACGCGACTGTCGGTCAACAGTTCTAAACGATCGATCAGAATTCGATATTTCAAACTCATTCATTCAATGTTATACAGAAATATACAGGACACTTTATTTAAAAAAAACCAATGAAAAATTTGAGAACTGTAATAGTTAGTTAATGTATTTCATTTAATTAACGTGGTTCAATGTTTAGTTAACACAAATTAATTTTGACGGAGTAATCTACTTATCTACTTATTCACTTATTTGTAAAACGTGGTAACCTTTCAAATTTAATTATAAGTAAAATGAATCGATAAGTGAATAACACAAACAAGAGAAAGAATTACATTCCGTTGAAGCGGATTTTGATGCTTAATAATGTTTCAAAATGTATGTAATTTTATGTTACGAGGATCTCAAATTTGCGAAAATCACAAGTGGGAAATAAATAACTTTCATAAAAGATTGAAACCCATCTTACGATTCGTAGATTTTATAAAACGAGAGAGAAATATAAATTTTAATAAATAACTTTTTATGGAATATAATTATTTGCTAAATAAAAAATATAATAGTTAAATCAAATTAATGGCTCTTGTATCAAATAAATATATGTTAAATTTAATAAATGTTTAACTGACACTATTCAAACAAATATACTTATTAAAATTTAGTATATTTTTCTCTCACTGTATGTAAATCAGATTTAATAGTTACTTTAGATGAAATGTCTTTTTCATCTTTTCATTTGCTGCATACGAAAAGAACTTTGCATTGCAGCGGCACGAGATGAATCGAAGAGTGGGATACAGCAATTACGATGGCAAGATCGCCGGTCTTTACGATCTGGAGGAGACTCTCGGCCGCGGTCACTTCGCCGTGGTGAAGCTGGCACGACACGTTTTCACCGGTGAGAAGGTGGCAGTGAAGGTGATCGACAAGAGTAAGCTCGATGAGGTTTCGAGAGCTCATCTCTTCCAGGAGGTGAGAGAAACGCAAACTGTAGCGTCATTTCGAAATGTCAATTCTGCCCATTGTCGCGATAATGCTCTAAGTTCTTCGACGAGTCATCCAGTTTGATCTTTTACCATTTTTAAAGGAAACGTGTGAAGGAAATGTTCTTTTTCTAAGGGTACGTTCCACTTGATGCTTGCAATGCATGAAGTCATTTCATCTTTGTTATCAACTGTTAAACGAGGACAAATAATACTCGCGAATATTGTGAGCGTCAAGTGGAATGCACTTTTAAAGTGATTTAAATAAACATTAGAAGATTGAAATGTATGAAAAGCTTATAAAAATCTGAATTTAAATTGCCTTTTTGTGTATTTTTCTTTGCTTTCTGATATCTTTCTGACACAAAGTTAAACTGTTTCAAATTTATCTCTTGTTCCGAATTGGAATTTATATTTAAGTGTGACAGATAGAACTCTAACGACATTCTAACCATTATTTGTTTCTATCTTGTTCGTGGCTGTGTCAGAATTATCTTCCGTCTGTTTCATGTCCTAATGGAAATAATAGAGTCATTGATGACATCCTGATTCGCGTAATGTCATTTTGATGGCTAGTTCGATAGTAACCGGTGATCGAATCGTCTCGCGTAGTTGCATCGCACGATAAATCTCATAGCGATGGACCTCAATAAGATCGACGAGATAATGATGCAAATGGATGACGGACAGAATCGTTGATCCCTGGATTTAAATTCGCTCAAGCGAAATGAATTTTGTCTGCCTGTACATCGTGTCCGTCTGTGTCACAGGTGCGGTGCATGAAGCTGGTGCAGCATCCCAATGTGGTGCGGTTATACGAGGTGATAGACACGCAGACCAAGCTATACCTAATTCTAGAGCTCGGCGATGGCGGGGATCTCTACGATTACATCATGCGCCACGACAGCGGCCTCAGCGAAGAGGTATTGTTGCATGGCCATTGTTGTTTTATTATGCCATCGGCTTACAATTACCGCGCGGATATAGGATACAAGTTTAGCTTTCATATAAACTCTATTGAATGTGAATTTTCTTGAGTATAAATTGTTACAAATTTATCAGAAATCATATATAAAGAATTTATATAAATTATATAGAAAAAATTATCTTCAAACTTTTTAAAATATTTCTCTTGTATTATAAATTCAGAATTAATATAATAAAAAATATTAATTTTATAGAAATATTCTTACTGTCATTTTTTATTAAATATAATAAATTGGATATTTCACTCGCAGTCGCGTGTATCATAATATTTGAATTTTCGCCTTAGGTGGCCAGGACTTACTTTCGGCAGATAGTTAGAGCCATATCTTACTGTCATCGTTTACATGTAGTGCACAGAGATTTGAAACCCGAGAATGTCGTGTTCTTCGAAAAGCTGGGTACGGTGAAGCTTACGGACTTTGGGTTTAGCAATAGATTTTGTCCTGGTCAGAAGCTCGAGACTTCGTGCGGCTCATTAGCGTACTCCGCTCCAGAGATACTTCTAGGCGATAGTTATGATGCCCCCGCAGTAGGTAAGCTTGTTAATTAATGCAATTAAGGATAAATAACTCAAATTAGTATTAAAGTTACATCTTTCGTCGAAAGTTTTGCTAAGAAGCATTGGACTCTAAATTTGAAAGAAAAAAATCTTATTTAAAATATAATACAGCGAGAGAGTGAAATTATACTCGCTTCAATAGACTACGTTTATATTTCAATTTGTTGCAGATGTTTGGTCGTTAGGTGTAATACTATACATGTTAGTATGCGGTCAAGCGCCGTTTCAAGAAGCGAACGACAGTGAGACGCTAACGATGATTATGGACTGCAAGTATTCAATTCCGTCGCACGTGTCTGACGGTTGCAAGCGGTTGATCGCGAGAATGCTCGTGCGAGAACCCGAAGGCCGAGCGTCCCTCGAGGAGATAGCTGCGGATCCGTGGTTAGCGATCGGTTCCGACTTGGACACGATGGAGACGCTACCGCTCGTGTCACGTCAACAAGTCTCCGATGATCATCACAATCACATAATTACCAAAATGGTTAACGGTAACATCGCCACCAAGGAAGAGATATTGGAGTGAGTAGACATTAGGAAGAGATTTGACCATTTTGATCGTGCCTTTTTGCGTGTTAGTATATTTTAAGCATGCGTCTTCGGCGCTACGTTTTACTGGCAATTCTCATCGTGAATCTTCTTACAGCGCGCTCGACAAGAACGAATACAACCACATCACCGCGACGTATTTCTTGCTAGCTGAGAGGAAATTGCGCGCTCATCGACAAGAACAGATACAGAAAAGTCGTCCAGAAGCCCTGGATGTTTCCTCAAGGTATGTTTTACATACTGAATCACCCATTAGTATTGCTGCTATGTGTGATTCACTTATAAGCTATGTTAAATCTAAATATTTATACTGCATACCGTCTTTGATGAAATCATTAATACCAATGCGTGTTAATTTTATACAGCCGGCAGGATGATCTGACAACAAATCTGCGCACAGATGAGAATTCCCTGGGTACTATGAACCAGTCGCTATTAAGCGTGCCACGGACACCTGGTGACGTACCGCAGGTACGTACTATATGTTCATCATCTAGAAAGATATCGATTTATGTGTTGTATAAAATTAATGTTACATCTAGTCATGTATTAATATTTACATGTCGATATTTCTCGCACAGAGGAAACAAAGATGTCTGTTCTGATTACAGAACGTGCGTTCGCGCAAGTGCAGTATTGTTCAAGAAGAAGAAGATGAGGACGACGTGTCCTCATGCTCTGGCCGAGATGAACATGGCAGTAATTCGGCGCTAAATTCCCTTAATCGTCGTGGTTCCCGTTCCGAGGGAAAACTCTCGCATATTCTACAGGAGCGATTATCGCAGCTTCCGGAGAAGCATACCAGCACGAAGCCCGTGTTGAGTCAACGGCATCCACATCAAAAAGAGGATACCGTCATTGCCGAATCATCGCATAGGGGAGAAAGACTGAAGCAGATTTCGAAAAACGAAAAGGATAAGACGTCGTCGCCGATGCATCTAAGAGGAGCAGACAAAGTCCAAATGGGCAACGTACTCTTGGAGAAACTGCCCATAACTCCGCGGATTACCATGACGTGCGAGGAAAATCTGAAGAACCGATTGAGTGGCGCGAACTCTCCATCGTCCGGATGGGCAGCTAGAAAAGCCACTACTACGGAAACTAAACCTAAATCGGTAACGGAGTGTCTAAAATCGACCGGACCGATACCGGCGAATAAGTGGAGAATGGGTTCTCAACACCATCGGTTTAGTGTGCCGCTCACAGAGTCCTCATCAATGATTCCCTCAAAACCGTCCGACGTATCTACAACGATGACAACGACGACTACTACTAAAACACTACATGAATCGTCAACCGTCTCGATACCTCTTCATCCGATTAGTGACAATCAAGTGACGTTAACACCTAAATACAAGACGATGCCGTCACCCAGCGGTGCTTCTACGAAGCAACCCACGCTCAATGAAATCCTGGAGGATGGGGATGGCACGCAAGCATCGATGAACTCCACGAACTGCGGAGATTCGACAACTAAATGCCGCGTTGTTAGGCGAACAACATATGAGCAACGGAGAAGCAAGTTCCACAAGACGCGCACAACCTCCTGTTCGAGTTCGGACGCCAGCGACGATGACAGCGAGAGTAGGAAAAAGAGGGCGCACAAACTCGGTGCATCCACGGGCAAACCCTTACCTCCGAGACGCGATAGTCACGATGACTCGAGCGATTCGCAGGATCCAGGAGGAAGCGGTGGCGGACGTGGTGGAGTTGGTGGAGGAGGGAGCGGAGTGAGCAATGGCGAACACACAACGACGGATACACCGACGACAACCGAGAGCAATCGAAACGAAAGTGGCAGCGGCACTAACACGACAAACACGAGCACAACGAATGGAGGAGGACGGCATCGATGCACCGAGAACCAGGTAATGTTTGGCAGGAGACATCGCGCTGGTAGGAGAAGAGCCGGCGAGACGCGATTACGTGAGAGCCAGTCGTTGAATCGTATCACCGAGGTTCAGGAGGCCGAGGCACCCTCATCTTGTCACAATCATTGTCATGTGTCGCGCAATTCGACTGCAATTGGCACGCAGAACGTCTCCTCATCGTCAGCGTCGTCGGTATCGCAGAATAGCACTACTTCTCAGCACAATGTTGTTCCACCTGTGTCTCAAATAGCAACCAGTACGGTACAAAAAGCAAAAGGTCTCGGAGCGAAATTGTTGCAGAGCTGGTCACTCAGTGCCGGGAAATCCCTGATATCGCAAGGCTCAAGGTTTGCTCGCACTTCCGATGGAAAGGGTAATAGTCAACGGCAATCGGACGATTGTCAGAGCGTCAGCGATGAACGTCGTGGCGATCACAAGTGCGCGAGTCAAGCGCCGTGTAACGACAAGGAGAATCGTGGTAACGGCTCGATCAACGAGTGTAAGAGGAACGAGTGTAAGAACAGGAAGATTCGGTTGTTGAGTCGTTACTTTGCCGTGCACAAGAAGCTCTGCGTACCGCTGCCAGGTATCTTTGGCAAGGGACGCCTCTACAAGGCTCGCTCGTGCGGTAGCATCACTCGCGATCGTGTTAGTCCGCCGTCGCCTAAATCAGTGCTGCTAGTCGAGGACAAGTGGCGGGAACGTCGTCAGTGGTGCGATGCCGCGACAAAGCAGCATCGCGGTAGCGATGGCGATATAAATCAGAATTTAGGCCTCGCGCATCTAGTGCAGGAGAACATCGTCGGTAAGGGCTGCGCCGGCATGCCCAACGTGTGCCACATTCACCTCGGAGACGCTTCCAAGTGTTGTAGCCTTTGTTGATGAATCGTTTCCGCTTGAAAGAGAACTCGCTTAGATATTCAAGATGAGAGACGTATGAACGCGGGTAGGTAAAGGCCAGGTCCGTTCTCTGGTGCCAGTGGCGTAGCTAGATGGCATGTGCGCGCGGAATTTCTTTCGCGACAATCTCTTTTCGATACTACTTTAATTTCTAGCGAGTTATTTTTGTCGATACCGAAATATTTTTATAGGTTGAAAGATCTGAGAGATATATTTTTTCTTTTTTTCTTAAAAAACTGCAATCCAAAACGGCATAGATGCTGTATCTCTGACACATCTTAAAGAGAACAATAGCTATTCATTTCTAAATACAGAACCGAGTCAGATCTCTCAAGGAATCATTTCGTAAGCAATTCAGAGTGCAAAAAATATTGATAATTAATATTTCCCGAAAGACATGATCTGTTTTTCGCTGATGCCGAAGTTACGTTAAGTTAAGGACGCGCAACTGATATTTATTGCGCGAGTGGTAATTGCTAACCACAATATTAAAGATTACGTGACTCTGGTCTGCCATCAACGTATTTGACTGATCACATCATATCCCCGCTGGTCTGTAGAGCACAGGGATCAAGACAACAATAAGAGAAAAAAAAGATGGAGCGTATCGATTTGTCGATCGTTCTGAGAGAGCTGTATCTAGTCCATGTGAACAAACAATGTATTAAATATTGCAGAGTTTATGATGATGATTATTATATTATTATATTAATAATATTATTATTACTATATATATTATTATTACTACCATTACTCTACTACTACTACTATTACTACTATTACCGCTACTATTACAGTCCCTATTATTATTATTGCGAGAGATCATCTTCATGCTATTGTCATTATCATCATCAGTGTCATTATCATTATCGCTGCTTTTGTCATCTATTCTCTCTAAATATTTACAATGCAAAAACCTAGCACGGTATAATACACCGCAAACGGTAAAGTAATTCCAAGATTGAAATTTGCAATCAATCGATGCGGAGTCATGCAGTGCGAAAAATGTCTTCCTCTTCCCATTTTTCTTTCTTTCAATTTTTCCTTTTTCTTCAATGCGATCCCTTCGTCTTTCTCTTTTCCTCTAAATGATACATCATTGCCTTTACAAAGCTTCCTAACTTATTAAGATGAACAGAGTCTCGAGATGGCTATAATGACTATATTTATATATACATATATATTAAAAGATAAATTAACATCGGACAGAAATGCGAGTGTTCTACAACGGTAGCCTGAATTGCGTCTAAGCGAAAGGAAAGAAACGATTAAGGGAGAAAAACTCGCTCCGCGGTATTTATATATGTTAAACCCGATGCGGGAGTAGAAGTGTTCTTGAGCAAGCAGTGCGCAACGTAAAGCCCACCGAGTATGTAAGTACTGCGCGCAAATATTAGAAGCTTAAGGGTAAGGCGATAATCGTCATCTGTCAATCCATTCTTGTAGATCTAAATAATTGGCAGCGGACAGTAGGTGCAAGATCTGTTGACCGTGCTTGCCGGCTAAGCACGTCGCAACGTTCTTCGATCATCCGTTTCCTCGGATGTTCGCGCCACATATTAACGGTCGTCTGGACGGACACTGTCATCGTCATCGTTTCTCTATCATCGTCATTATCGTGAGTGCTATCCGCTACTTAAAAGTGCGTGCTACAATCGTAAAATAAGAAGTATATTTCTCATTAATATAGCGGGAACTCATTAGATTTTATTTTTTCTTCTCGTCGCGATATAAACATTTCTTTACATCATCCGATCATTTCTATCCCGATCCTTTTATTGCATTTCTATGTCAATTTACGAATTTTGACAATCGAGTGCTGGACGCTCGATAGTTACCCAAGATAATTCATTTCACGAGTTCATGCATTATTCATCAGCTCTCCCATTTCGTTATATGTATACAAGGATCGTTCGGAAAGTTTTATGGCCTGATAAAGAAAACACATTTTTGGCAAAATTGTTTTTTTATTTTTCAACATAGTCTCCTTTCAATTTAATATATTTATTTCAATGATAATTCTAATTTTTTTTAAACCGTCTATGATTTCTCTAATTTTCAAAGTAAGCATTAGTTTTATCGCTTACTTTAGTATTTTCAGCCAAATCTTTTTCCTGCAAGCCATTTCTTCATATCTGGAAAAAGAAAAAATCATTAGAGGCTGATGAATGCGATGCTTGCGGAATCAATTTGAAGTGCAATTCATGCAATTTTATGATTAAAATTGAAGAAATGTGAACGGGTGCATTGTCGTGATGGAACAAAAAATTGATGGCTTTACACGATCGAAACAAAAGAAACTAATGAACGCATCTGTCTGAAATTTTAACAGTAGCTCTGTGCAGGATCAAATTTGTCTAAAATTATAACAGTTTGATATTTGTGGCGTCATTTCTGTGTCAGGCTCAGAACTTTCCGTACCCTCGTATATCACATACGATGTATTAGGATGAAAGCGATATAAGATATAAGAAAATATAAGTTCGAAAATAATACATGATTGTAGGATGATGTTAATATAAGACAACTGTCGCGTTTCGCGCTGCTCGTTAAATCCCTTTATTACCCCGTTTTTCGTTTTTAAGTTCGCAGCTGTGTTTGCAATTGTGTCGATGGTAATTTTTTTGATAAAGACTGAAAATTTTGCAATGACTTCGATATCTCGATTACCAGCTACCTGCGCGTCGTACGATGACGATGACCTAAACGAGACCAAAAATAATAATTAAGATTCACAGACCTAAGTTTGCGCTAGCTACAAAGTGCAATACAAAGTCGTACAAAGCCAAGTACCTTGTGTCGGTGTAGTCGTTGATTTTAAGGATCCAATTCGATTTTATCTTTTTCACCCTATATTGTAGCGTATTCAGCAACTCGGAAGCTACTTTCGAAACTCGGAGTACACATGGGCATTAACGTTACTTCGGTATATGAGAATAATATCTCGGGAACGATAGGACTTTAGGATACAAGAGTCTTCTCAGCTACGAATAATTGGGCGAAGATTGTTGCTGTAATCGACGAACGAGAGAAATTGTCTATGTAGCGTGAAGCTAAAAAAGAATACTTTTCTCGTAGGCGCCACTAAGTCACGTACGGCTTGTTTCGGTCCTATAATATTTATATAATAAATTGAAGGCGTCTTTCGCGTAATTCGAACAATGTATATTCTGGAGTTGCAAATAGAGCAAAATGTCTCTTCCATGTACATATCTTTGGCATTTTCCTATATCCTGAGAAAACTGTCTTCTCCTGGGAGAGCTATCGATAAGTAAGAGAAAGAGAGAGAATGAGATATTTTCGTGCTATAATACGGAACGCTGATCCATTGAACTGGATTTCCTGAGATGCGATATGTATATGTATGTCGCGAAACTTAAGTGCAAACTGACGTATCACATTGAATGCATGTGATTCTGTTGCGAACTTGCCGGCTTCTTGCTGTTGCGCTGCTCGTGTTAGTCGCTCATCCTCCCCATTTTAGCGAGTAATTCCGCTGTTTCGAACGCGCTGCACCGTAAATACGAGAGAGAATTTTCTAAACGGTCTACTCTTTTCACTCGTTCTAAACGTCTATCCGGCCTGAACAGACCAAAGTCCCTCCCGTCATCCCTCGTAGTGTCCGACTCGTCATCCCGATTTACTGCCAGCTCAGTGTTAACGACACATCACTTTGCTAAACCGGCATAACATGAGATCTGTAAACCGCCAAGCATGAGCGTTCATGCACTGTGTGCCCAGACAAAATAAACTGAAATTAAAAGTTAACATTTGTCCCATAAGATCTTCGTATTTCACCCACATCCTCTTTTTTTTTCAGTATTATCTTTCCCGACATTCTATTTTTTATGAAAAAGATAGAAAGGAGTAAGTGACACGTCAGTAATTAAATTATGTCAAACTTTTTTATTTGAGTTTTGTTCGCGTTGATAATATACAATAGAATATTAATCTTATATTCCTCTTTTGAAATAATTCTTATGTCCAAAGCTGTATATTTATATCTTACATGGCATTTGTATCAAAATGAAAAATTATGAATTACAGGCACTTCTTTATAAAAAAGAAAGAAATATTTACATCAAATATAAAGAACGAGTACATATATAACAATATAACAATATGTAAACTTATGTTGTAGATTCTAGAATGCAGAATAGGTCTTATAAATTAACTTGTTCGCTAATCATAGTACAAAGAGTATATGTCGTAAGTTCATGCTGCCAAATCGGCGTATTCGCAATTGTGCGAACGTCGCGTCTAAGTTTATGTGTAGAAAAAAACTATCTTGTTATATAAAAATATTTTTAGAAATAGGAACTTCGAAAATAGAATGATTCGTAACATTCCTCATAACGTAGTCAGTCCATGGATCGAAACAACCGATTGTGTGCACCACACTTGAAACTTCAATAACTGTGTTGTATGCTAAAAGAAGACAACTTATGCGTATACGAAAGGCAGCTATTTCTGTACATCTTGCAATTATTTCTCAAAGATCCATATATTACAACAGACCTGTCCAAACTTAACTCACGAACTAAATAATTACAATATCATCCATTAACATTGTATGAAAAACTCCAACATATATTGTTTATCTTGTTTGTTGCACTGGCCAAACATCAAATTTTTAACACTATGATATATTTTTAAAAAAATCTAATGCTTGTTATGTAGCTACAGCACCTCGTTCTTCCAGATGTCTTAAAGCTTTTTTGCTGTTCTCTACAAATTCCTGAAGACAAGATTTTTGTCTATATATAAATGACTTCATAACGATTAAGAAATAATAAAGCTGATGCATTTATTATAGCTAATACAAACCATTAAACCACGGCTCATAAAATAAGGTCGGTTGATGCCGTCATTTTTCTCACAATCCTCGCAGAAGCATATAAATATTGTGTCAATAATCATCTGCAAAAAATTAACATTTCTATGAAGATTATATTATTTATTTGACATTGACATTTTTTTGCTTTTTATATCACTTACCTCATAGATTGATATGAAACAATGTGAAACTAGGAATGCGAATATTCCCGCGAGAGTGATTGGTATCCAAGGATGATTAAGCCCCTCCTTTTTCTGCAAAGAGATAAAATTAAAGTTAGTAAAGCCCTAGAAATATAAAAATAAGTATAGTAATTAATTTACCTGTACCTGCATCAAGTATATCCCCGAAACGATCGTAAGAGTGACAACGAGGACTTTACCCAAAAAAAGGACGAAGTCGCCGACGCTGTTAATCGCCGCTACTCGTAAAATGTTGCTTGACAAGGCCTGGAACGCCTTTCTTCCAGCGGTGCAAAAGTTGCATCCGTATATGGCTGAAAAAACATCGTTTTTTAGTACATTAATCAATAAAAAAATATTTTTAATTTTTTAATTGTTATATATCATATTCAAGAAAATAGAAAGATGTCAGAGATTGATGAAAAATTCAAATCAATATTTATATCATATCATCATAAAAATGTCGCAATTACCCGTTTCGACGTAAGCATTTCTAGTGAGAAATTTTAAAGCGCACTCGAAACACCAAAGACAGCATTGACAGCACCATAGAATTCCTTTCACGCATGGGTTGTCATACCGTTTCAGATACTTTTGGACAAAAGCTATCATGGCTCTGATAACTCTAACAAT